GGGATATCAAAACGTCTACTCTATTATACTTTCCGTTTAATATGATTGCTTCTATTACATTATTCAGTTTTTTTTATACAAGTTACAAAGTTGCGGTTGGTTAATATTTCGCAACATTATAACTACAGATCTAACCTTGTAGATTGTGAGGCGGCAATCCTGGCAAATCAAGTGAGTTTAAAAATTCCGGTGGATAGTTCACATCATCCTCATTAGTTGCCGTATCAAGTGATTTATGTGTCCTCATTTTGCCAGGAATGTCATATTGAATTTTGAAATTCAATTCAATTAAATCAGTGTTTTTGTAAATAAACCAGTATAGCTCGTTCGCTCAAGCAATCATGGAATAAGTAATTTTGATCAATATTTGGAAACACTTTTTGAACGAGTTCAGCTTTTGATTGCGTTAACTGACAAAAAACTCTCAGGAAAGATGATGCAGCCAGTCAGCACATCTATAGGAAATTTGCCATTACCAATATCAATGAGTTGTTTAGAAATGATATGATAGCGAAAATTCTTTGTTATAAAACTGAATACAAACTAACTAATAGTCCACCTGGCGTTAAGTGGCCACTACATCCCGTGGCCACCTGCAACTAACTTCGAACAAACGGGGCTACGGATTCGTTGTTAACTCTGAAGACTATGAAATGCCTCACAGTCTGTCATTATACTGGCTCTTTATACAGGGTTTTTTTTCAGAGTAGCCGAATTTTAAACTTAAGGTCAAATGTATAAATAATGATTTAATTACTAGCATATTATTAATATTATCTGTTTCCTTATCTTTAAAAAAATCACTTCGCTTTTTATGTAAGTTTGGTTACCCATAAGAAGATGAACACGTAGCATATAGTCGCCGTGTTGAATTATATTTTTGTTAGTATTGTGTATCATCTGTTGGTGATCCAAATAAAGAGAAAAAATGATAATAATACGTAGAGTTAATAATGTTTCTACTTTTATTTGAAATTATCCCATACTGAATGTAATTTACAGGCAACAACGCTTGTGCGTGAGCAGTAAAATCAATTAAACATTTGCCTATATTACTTATTCTGAACTTTGTCTGCAAATTTGGCCAGTTATTGCAAAATAACCCTGTATAGAGAGCCAGTAGGAAGGATATCCTTTAGACCGGAACAGTAGTTCACGCACTGCTGCTTGTTAGCAGAAATGGTTAAGAGCGTGGTACGTACCCAGACGGAATCCTGGACAGAAATGATGTCAACCTAATAAACTGAAATTACACAATGTTATAGAGTGGATAGATATGTATATAGTGTGTGTACGTGGTAGCTCTGAGGCTGAGCGCTCGCTGTAAATTTCACAGTATCAGAGTAACCCGGGTTCGATCCCCTCCGGCACCAATGAGATCGTAAATTGCAATTTTAAGTGCTGATTTACCACGTGCTTAGCGGTGAACAAAAACATCGTAAACCGGCATGTCCGAAAAATAATAAAAATAAAATATTTCGAGGACATGTGAAGTTCGCCAACACTACTAACATTGCATTGGGGCAGCGTAGCGGACGCTTCCTTGCCCTAAAATCCTCTCAGTGGGACGTATATAGGCTGTAACTTAAACTTTTTTTTACACGTCAACAGTTTCTAGCAGTATCTCCTTCTGGAGAATTCTCTTGTTTGCATACATTACTTTAAAAATTTATCCATACTCCAGGCACGTAGTAAAACTGCTACTTTGGATTTTGGGTTCAGAGTTTTTAGATGAATTTTTCTTCAACAATTTTTTTTTTTAATTTGAAAGCCGGTTTTCTAGCGGTGGTCCTTAGACATTTTTTTTATCAAAATCGGTTTGGCCGTTTGAAGATCCTTAGCCTCTTTGTTTAGGGTTTTTTTTTTAATTTTCAATTGAAGTTAATATAATTTATTTAGTAACAACATATCGTTAATCTTTCACCAGGTCATTAATGAAATAGAGTCTCAAAACTTTTGTTAACTGTGATTCCAAAAGGAAAATACATTTTATAACTACAAGCAAGCATATAACAAGAGTTAAAAAACATTGTAAATGTAGAAATTTCGGTTAAATTCGGGCAGGTTTGGCTTTGTAGAGCGTTATCATTGTGGTTTTTAAGTTTTATCCCTTGCTTACTATACACATGGTAATATTAAAATATTATGCACACGTTACTCTTTGCCTGCCTTACTTTTGCAGTGTAGGGGGAGGGGGTTATAAAAAAGAAAATCCAGTGCCCCATGTCATCCCTTGGGTGCAATAAGTGTCGACAGAGGGAATTTAATCAGAAGATGGACAGCAGCATGTTGCTGATAACACCGTAAAATAATAAAAAAATATGTTGGCCAACCTGCTCGCCAGGCGTGGCAACTTCCCCAAAAATTTCCCCAATGACGCCATCTTTAGGTGATGTCTGTTTTTAGCAGTGTTATGATAGGTTGTTATGTTATTGGTATCTCATGTTTGTCTTACTTCTTTTCCAAGTTTCTTATATCCGCTAACTTTACGATATCTAATTGGTAAATATATACTGAATAATTTTTTATACCATCTGAAAAAAATAGGTTGTAACAGAAGCATATGGCACTAATATTTTACAATTTTTTTGCTTTTACATTAACATATTATGAAATTGAACTATCAATTAATACAACTAATTGGAAATAAACTTTCGGTAATAAAAAACAAATATTTTAACTAAATAAATAAATCAATTAAAACTATCGAAATTAAAATAATACGCACCCAATTTGTAGTATATTTATTGATAGATCAATTTCTGTTAATGTAAAATAAAAAAAATGGAAAATATCAGTGACATAGGCTTCTATTCCGTTCATCTGTTACATTTTTTTTCAGACAGTAAAAAAAATCAGCCAGTATATATCTTTAAGGTAGATTTTATTCAATTACAAAGCGTTTTGACTACTGTCCTATTTCGTGTGACAGGGACGCCACTCTACAAAAACGATCACATTTAGCTGATAGTCCCTGGGACCCTAAGTGTACTCACAGTATGAATAATAGTACTACTTCTAGTATAGTACTCAAGATAATATATAAATAATATGTAAATTTGGTTACAATTTCCTTATCACGTGGTAGAGTCATGCTGCAGTTATATTAATTTTATAGTTGTAGCACGAATGGGTCGGCTCGACCACGGAAGAACCACGCTCTCACAGAATACCAGCGTCAAATAGTAGCTTAATGCTCCTGTGTTTCGTATGGTGAGTGTAGAGAACCGGAGACCCTTTTTATTGGAAATGAGGCATTCCACCTAAGTCCTCACGGGTGACAACGCATCTGCATTTTGTTTCGTAATCGAGGTCAGATGTAGATGTCTTTGGGCCACAGCAACCACTTACCATCAGGTGGACTGTGTGCTCGTTTGTCACTCTATTCTATAAAAAAAAAATCTTTAAAATTAACTGCAGGCTGTTTCAGTCATTTACGCAAACATATATTAACTTTCTTTAATATAAGTATATTCTGCATTATTATTGTTACCGTTATTCTTTATTTTTATTTTAAAGTTTAATTTTTACAAATATTTATAAACGTCTAAAACTATATTAAAATGTTCACGTTTATATTTGGCAAGTTAGGCATTAGACCTAAGGATCACTCATAAAAATAATACTTTTCTTAGTCTTAAAGTTGTCTAAAATTTTGGCAAGGTAGGCCCTGGAGCAGTGGGCGATAGCAACGAATCGTCGGGCGCTGCGAAAGTTGACTCTCTTATCGAAGTAGAGTTTCTTATAGAGGCTCTTCGTCGCACAAGGATAGCGTTAGCCAAAAAGAAAGTGCAGAAAATTCCCGTGCTCTGAAACAAAGAAATATTTAAATAAAAAAGTAGAAGTGAAAATAAAATGCCACATTAAATACAGAAACAGTTACATTCTTTTGAATCCGTAGAAATTAGGTGGCGTGCATTGACAACGCCGTAGGCGTTTCAGCTTTGGACTTCCGCAAGTTAATAATCATTATCATGAAGCATATAGAACCTGTAAATATGCCATTTTGGGAGGATTTACAATAATTTCTACATTCCGCAGTTTAACACCACAAAAATGTAGATGATAGTGATACTCGTGGATGCGGTCATGCGCGGCATATGTTCATCAAACATGGTGAACTTGCAAGCACTGTCTTTATTTCATTTCATAACTACCATCACATCCTTCTCCCTTCCAAATAATGCGTAGAATATAGCTACACAGCTATTATACTTAAATAATAAAACCGTTAAACATCAATCCTACATCTTCCTCTTTTTTAACATATTTTTATATGTGGTAGAGCCACACTGCAGCTATATTATAGTTGTAGCACGAATGGGCTGACCTGACCGGGGACCACTCTCTCACAGAATATCAGCGTAAAATAGCAGCTTAATGTTGCTGTGTTTCGTATGGTGAGTGTAGAGAACCAGAGTGCTTTTTACTGGAAACGAAGCATTCCATCTTGGTCTAAGGTGTAACCGCGCATCTGCATTGATTGGGAATAGATGTAGATGTCTATGGGCCGCAGCAACCACTTACCATCGGGTGGACTGTGTGCTTATTTGTCACCTTTATTCTATAAAATAAATACATTTTAAATAATAGTTACTTCAAATCAACTTGAATTTTTAGTCACCTATATAATTACAATATCATAATAAGATGTTTCATTTTAAAACATCAATGATTATTCTTTAAATGTAGAGTTCTACGTCTAAGGATTATTCTAATACTGATTTGACCTTGTTAACACTGATTTGACGTTGTTTAAAAAGTATAATATTATGAGTACAGTAACAGGGAAATAATACAATAATTACAAAATATATGTGTTGATTATTACTGATATTAACAATATAGAAATAATATTGAACTAATTTAGATTCGAATTAGACAAATATTTTTAGTACCTAATTTAATAATTACATTCATTATTTCTTTATTTTTATTATTAATCAGCAATAAAAATTTACAATTTTATTGCTAAGCATTAAACAATATTGTATAATTACTTATATTTGGTTATGCATTTTCATACGCGCGTACATTATTTGACAAATGCCTTTGTAGTCTGAAGTGACCTCAACCACTGATACTGGTGGGTTTCTCATACAATATATTGGGTATCGTAGGTCGACAGGATCTGGATATTCGCCAAGTAAGTTAAGCTGTCCTTCAATTAAGTTGGCCGGCTCTAAGGGGCATAATGCATTATAATTCCTGATGTTGCCTTCAAGAATGCAGCGCCTGTAGTATGTGTTAAGATCTTCACCTGCACGGCGATCTGGTACTTTGAGATTCTCCATTCCATTTGAGACGAAAAGAGACAATCTTCCTATCGGACTAAGATCAACCAACCCTCCCACCATCTTTGGCACATGCTTCTGCAAACTATAGAGCCATGGCATTATCACTGAATTGTCATGCTGGAATTTGTCTTTAAGATCATAGTCTGCAGGTATTATTTCGTCAGGATTCTGTAGAACGTGGTCAGTCCATATTGCTCCTGGGATTGGGTTGTTATTGTGGAACGTCTCCCGTGATATCTGTGGGGTATCAGGGTTCGCGAGGGCTACGACAGTACGCCTCAGATTACTGAGGAGTACGGTCTCAGCACGTGGGACCAGACGCTCATATTGGTCCAAAACTTCTCTGGCGACTGCTGGTACATAGACCTTCTTATCATGCTCTATATAGCCGATTGAGTTAACGATTTTCCTTATCGGCTCCGGAACCCGTGTAATATTTACTGCATCACATGCGACTGCGTAATTATAAGTATAGTCCGTGAGCCGGGGTAGAACTCGGATACCACGCTTGATGTGTTGAAGTTTAGATTCGAGGATTCCCAGGTATACTCGGTATTGACTATAGATATTGGGAACGCGAATTACATCACCGTATGCCGCAGATATGTCGTATGCCATATGACAGATGCTCATGCCGATGCCTCTTGTTGTAATAGATAAAGTAAGAGGTTTCAATATTTGAGATTGGTCCATTTTGTTATAAGTACTACGAATTATCATAAACTAATTAAAAGTACTATTGCACGAACGGATTATAGAAGCTACTTCAAACATAAATGGTGTCACAACTCACAATCACAATATCACAACTTTACTTGATGACAGCGGGGAGCGGGGGCTTGCGCATACGCGGTCGCGTTGCAAGCAATCGTGATGTCGTGTCGGGTCGGACCTCAAAGTAATTACCTACTAGCATAGAGAGAGTCCTAAAATAGGAACAAAATTCTTATAGCTTAAGTCTTTATACATATGACGTTTAATATAGTGCAAAATGAGATAGCTATTAGCTATAAGCTATAACTATATTATTGTACCTTCTTTCTTTTACAAGGTGGTTACCGTTTTTCCATTCCATAGACACCTCTATTGGTGTGCAATTAGCAAAACAAAAATGTTGTCGATAAGTTCATTCAGTCTAAAGACCGATTTAGACTTCGACAAGTACAGTAGCGAGTTAACTTGCGAATCTGGCGAGTTAAGTTTGAACCTCGTTTGAACGGCAATAAGCGAGTTAAGTAGCAAGTTAACGATTAAGTTGAACGGGATAGCCGGCCGAGCTATTTTTCGGCGAGTTAAGTGCGAAATACTGCCCTCCCGCGCGTCTCCCGCCACCCGCAACTAAACTCGCCATTCGTGTAAACGAGCGAGTTTAGTTCAGTGCATAAGTTGACAGGACGCAACGTTTGCGCGCCAAAACTTACAATTGTACTTTTATAATGAAACTCGCCACAAAGTTTCTACGATACTGTTTATTGAATATGTATACGTTTTATATTGAGTTTTAATAACAAAATGGACGGAAGATATCACATATAAATTCGTACAGGAGTATTTAGAACACGGATGTTTATATAATAGTAGAAGTTCAAATTGTAAAATTAAACCTGCTCGAGGTGCTGCACTCATGAAAATTCTTGAAAACTTCTTTAACAACAACCATTAATACTTCTCTGCCTGGATCATTTAATTCTTGACCTAATCCTAGGACCATCTTAAACGAAAACCGGAAAAATTCTGTAGTCTTGAAACGTCATACTCCAACGAACTTTATGAACTAATGTCCTTAACTAAACTCGCCACGAAGACATTGTTTGAACGCTACTGCCCACTTAACCGTTTACTGTCAACTGCCCTGTGACTAAACTGGCTACTGTACTTGTCGAAGTGTAAATCGGTCTTAAGACTTAGGTAAAATTAAGGAGAAAGTTTATGGAAGCTTCATCTGACATCTTACAACAAAACGTAGTCGAATAATGCAGAATTTCATACTATCGTTGTATAATTTAAAATATAGCTTGAAAAGTTCTCTATAAAATCTACTTCAATTCAGCCGGTATATTTCTGCCAATGGGTTTCAGAAAGAATAATAACTGTGTTTGTTTAGTCGACACTGGGTTTGTGTCACTCAACATACACGGAAGCCACTTCTACGATAGTTTTTTTTTTTGAATAATGGTGCCAAACGAGTACACAGGCCACCTTATGGTAAGTGGATGCTGTAGCCTATAGATATCTTCATTTATCTTCGATTAAGAATCCAAATGCAGATGCGTTGTCACTCCTGACGACGAAGATAGAATGTCTCGTTACCAGTAAAAAATCTCACCGGTTATCTGCACTCTATGTGAAACACAGCAGCCTTAAGTTGCCATTTTACGCTGGTATTTTGTGAGAACGTGGTCCTACCCCGGTCGAGCCAACCCATTCGTGCTACAACTGTTATAGCTACAGCATGGCTCTACCACGTAAAGTAGTATAGTGATATAACATTGGCACGACCGCCTTTACTTTTGTCACTATATCACAACTACCAAGGAACGTATTACCCGTTTTTCGTTCTGCTCCCTCAAGATATTATCCATCATTCGTTTATAAAATATGGGCAATCAAAAGTCCACTGCTGAACGTGGGGGGCAACATTTGCCACAGTTCCCTCTCTTAGCAAGTGGTTTAGCAATTGCATTTTTTATTATTTTGATTGTTTTCTTTTATTGTTTTGTCTTGAAGATACTGTTTCTCGCGTTTCAGTTCTCTCTGTCGTCTTCTACAGTACTCACGGGATAGTATGAGGTCTTAGAGCTTCTGAGTAATAAATATTATATTATTTGTTAGGAGAATTCTTTTTAATATTATCATCCAAGCAGATAAAACCTTTTTTTCTAAATATAATCGATGGTTTATATTTTCTGTTAAACAAGTGGTAAATCTAAATAAATAAAAATCAGTTTCCACACGTATGAAAGATTATAATTGGACCCTGTATGTGGCATTGTTGTTAAGATAGAAAACAGTCGTGAAAAGCCTGGGCGGGTCGTCAGTCAGCATATAATTGGACCCTGTATGTGGCATTGTTGTCAAGATAGAAAACATTCGTGAAAAGCCTGGGCGGGTCGTCAGTCAGCATATAATTGGACCATGTATGTGGCATTGTTGTCAAGATAGAAAACAGTCGTGAAAAGCCTGGGCGGGTCGTCAGTCAGCATATAATTGGACCATGTATGTGGCATTGTTGTCAAGATAGAAAACAGTCGTGAAAAGCCTGGGCGGGTCGTCAGTCAGCATATAATTGGACCCTGTATGTGGCATTATTGTCAAGATAGAAAACAGTCGTGAAAAGCCTGGGCGGGTCGTCAGTCAGCATATAATTGGACCATGTATGTGGCATTGTTGTCAAGATAGAAAACAGTCGTGATAAGCCTGGGCGGCTCGTCAGTCAGCATATAATTGGAACCTGTATGTGGCATTGTTGTCAAGATTTTTTTTTATAGAAGGGGGGAGCAACGAGCATGCGGCTCACCTGATGTTAAGTGACTACCGCCGCCCATGATCAACCGCAACACCAGGGAAATTGCAGGTGCATTGCCGGCCCTTTAGAAAGGAGTAAGCTCTTTTCTTGAAGGTCCCCAGGTCGTATCGGTCCGGAAAAATCGCCGGTGGTAAACTATTCCACAGAGAGGTTGTACGCGGAAGAAAACTCCTTTTGAAACGTACTGTGGTGGACCGCCAAGCATCCAGATGGTGTGGATGGTATCTGGACGTTTGCTGCGCAGTACGTTCACAAAATTTGGCGGCTGGGATTAATCCGAACAATTCCTCAGAGCACTCTCCATGGTATATGCGAAATAAAATGCAAAGAGATGCAACATCTCTTCGCAGTGCCAGTGAATCGAGCCGATCGGAAAGCACTCGTTCGTCGACGATTCGAGCCACTCTGCGCTGGATGCGGTCAAGTGGAAGGAGCTGGTACTGGGGAGCCCCAGCCCAGAGATGGGAACAGTATTCCATGTGCGGCCGAACCTGCGCCTTGTAAAGTCGCAGGCGGTGTGCCGGCATGAAATAATGTCCCGCTCTGCTGAGCACGCCAAGCTTAGATAGTAAACAGTCGTGAAAAGCCTGGGCGGGTTGTCAGTCAGCATATAATTGGACCCTGTATGTGACATTGTTGTCAAGATAGAAAACAGTCGTGAAAAGCCTGGGCGGGTTGTCAGTCAGCATATAAAATTATGATTACAAATGGGATCCAACTCACTCGTGTAACGTGTGTCTGTCAAAACTTAGTATTGATATTATTAGTTTATTATAATTATTAGTTTTTAAAGTTTGCAAAAAGAATATTTGAAATGAAATATAACATCACGTGGTTTTAAAAAAAATTTACTTAATCGTTCGAATAATAATAAGTCTGGTCCTATTTTTTAAATATTTTAGGCCAATAAAGTAATAACAATAAATAACTAAACAAAAACGAGTATATCGATGTCGATTGTTGCTAACATTGCAAACGAAATCACTATAGATTACAGACATAACGTCTTGAAAAGTAACGTCACACTAACAAACTAATAAGAGTACTATAAGAGTATATAAAAAATTGAAAAAGACATTTGGTTTTTTAAATAAATGTAAGGCAAAGGTATCAATTTGCTTCTGCCTATAGGCCAGTGGCAGTACGGAATCCCTTCAAAATTTTATAATAATTTTAATTTAGGTATAATGAAATAAAATACAGAAATATTCGTAAACTTTTTTATTTTTATATTTTTTTTTAAATTTAACAAGTGCTTTTTTGATATTGGCGGCAAATTCGAGTCATCAGTCCCTTTTAAAATTTTATTGATTCCATTACACCAGTTGTAAAATGCGAGTCTGATTGTTAAGTCTAGAAAATATTCTAAAGATGAGAATAAAGCTCTTGGCAAGATAAGAAGTCAAATGAATAATTGGCTAGAATTTTTTCTTTAATACTTTTATTAATATTATCCTTTTGCGGATTTAGCTCCAAATATTCACTTGACTCCTTAAAACTTAAGCCTAAAATCCTCACTGCATGTTCAGCAGGATAAGTCATTTTTTTTTCTTTATTGCCTCATATTCCCTCATTGAAATCCATGTATGCATTTTTTCTTCATTTTCAACCGTAAAATTTGCCTTGCAGAGGCTGCAGTTATTAGTTTTTCTTAAAACTTTTCTAATGACCCATCCTGCTGTATATGCCTGAGAATAATATACATTCAGTCTTTCTTGACGAGCATCCATTTGAATATTTTCTGGCCGACAATTAAAATTAATATTGCTTGTCTCTAAAGTCTTTTTGACTGTTATGGTTACCCTGAATACATATAACCCTGAATAGGTTTTGAAATAATTTTTTTAATTTTAACAAAGGGGCTGCTTCATCATCCTCGCAGTTAAATGTGGGGTTGTGGAACTTTATAAAGCCAGTATTAATAATGTTTTAAAAATGTTTGCAAAGGTGTAGCAATCTGGATCATTATTCCTTAAGTTATATGCGCGTACTTGACAAAAGAAATTTTCGATGGGATCTGTGTTGAAATATTGTGGGCGCATAATCTTCACATTTTTTTATTAAAGAAATGCCACAGCCTTTGCAAACTCTTTATAGTTACGATCCAATTTTTAATTGGTCATACACAATACTGCTACAATTTGGATGTCATTTTTCTAGTAAACAT